TGCTGAATTCGAGTCTCCGACACGCAGCAGACATCCATTCCCAAAGAGTCCATTGTACGCACCAGACGCCTGTTGACCTATCTACATCAGTCTTTATGTTGTAGGCCCCCAGGATTCAGCCGCTGAGGAGACTTCAGAATCTGCAATCCATTTTGTGGTAAACTACCTATGGAGCTACTTGGCAACGAACTTTGGCAAGTGACGAACAAGTTGTCTGAGGGAATGTCATGGGTTGGAAGAAAGAGCAAAGAGAGAGGGTTGCGCACGGAAGATAAAGAGCTAAACAAAGGTTGGGGTACCTGAACAGTAGCCCACTTATCACCACCCACCCCGCTCGATGCAATGGGCAGCGCGGTCGTGATTTTCCAGCGCGATGACCGATGCAGTATGGAATTATTTTTTGATCGGTTATGCATTTGATTTTGACGGACGGGTACTGCTAGTTTGTCCAGCCACTAAGAAGGAAAACGATTAGGGTTCTCGTCCAAAGCTTTTAGTTCTGACAAAAACCTAACCGCAAGGCAGCGGGTAAAGCGAAGTAGAGGCCCATGTACTTGTATCAATTACTCCTCTATCATTTTACCGACCAAGATGCTAACTCGAGTCGAACCCCAAACTGGATGACCAGGAGACTGGACTTCGTCTGACCCCTACCCATTGACCTTTCAGGCATGATTAGATCTGCGGCTTGACAAAAGCCATCCCGTATAGCTCGTTGGGTCGTAGTGGTGCACAAGCCATCACATCACGTCAAGGTGCAGTCTCGTCGTGACCCAGAGTCCACCGAAAGCTCAGGAAGAAACATCAGGCATGGATGGCTTTCAACAGGCAGCGAAGCCCCCTACTCTTCGCTTGCTTTGAATGAATTCACAACAAAGCCATCAATGTGGCACGGACGGCTAGAGTCATGTATGAAATAAACATAACCAACGAGGCCACATAACATCCCAAGGGGTAATGCGGTTTTTATCAAGCATGGTTCTCCTTAAGAAAAATATTCGGCAATAACCTCTGCACTAATGGACAACTCTTAATCACCGACCAGGAAATTTCCGGCTCCTTCTTCGCTTCATTCTTTCACCCGGATAGCACGAGAAACTATCATTCTTTCGATCGAGGAAGCGATCTGGCAATCTCTCCGCCGGACGTAGAAAGAGCTCTTAAAACTCTTAAGATCTCCAAATCCGCGAGGCCAAATGACATCTATCCAGTCGCCTTAAAACAGATACAATAATCTGTGATACCTCAACTAGCCAAAATAGTCAACCACTCGCTGAACGCAGATTGGATTCCGCTCGACTGGAATTATGCTAAAATTGCCCAAATCTTTATAGGGAGTAATCAATCGGATCCGTCTAATTATCATCCCATCAGTCTCACAAGTATTGTTTCTAATCTCCTGGAGCACATAGTGTGAGACTACATATGCACGTACCTTCTTCAAATCGGGTTCCTTTGCAACGCCCACCGCGGGTTCACCAAAGCAGATCCATTCTTACAAACCTGCATTGTTTCCTGAACGTAGTAACAGAGAAATTAGATGAGGGTACGGAAGTCTACGTGTGTTACGTGGACTTCCAGAAAGCGGTCTACTCAGTAAACCAGAGGTTGCCAGATTTCAAGCTTAGGGAAACTAGGCTTAAACCAAAGGTTTGTATATAGATTATGACATTCCTGTCCGGGAAAACCTACAGAATGCGAGTGAGGCAACGTCTGTGAGATGTAGACTCCTCCACAAGCGGGATCCCACGAGAATATATCCTAGACCCCCTTCTACTTCTAGTATACGTCAACGATAATGTCAGGACTGGAGTATATCTGATTTTTGTACGCAGATGACATTAATTTGGTTGGAGGCCCGGACGACAGGTTATCCTTGCAGTGACATCCCAAAGATATGAAGATGGTATCACAAATGGGACCCCCACTAAACGGGTTGAAGAATTCCCTGCAAACGAAAGCGTCGTGATCCCTTCCTTGACAGTTACTCACTATGGACGGAGCATTTGCAACATTTAGCTACAAATCACATGCAATGAACCTCGGGATAAGAGTCTCCAACACGCTTCCCGGTCTTGTACCGCTGAAGCAGCCACACTGAAAGCAAAGCCAGGCGAGCAGTTCAGAACAAACGGTTATCACAAGCCGTTCATGCCACTGTACGCAGCCATCGTAGGCTACACCTAGAGTACTGAGTTCAGGGCTGGGCATCGTGTCTTCAGGACACAATTCAAGAAGAAGTTCAGCGCATCGCAACCGGGATGGTTCGGGGTCCAAAAAGACTCAACTAATGGAAAATACTAAACTCCCGGAACCTGTTTTCTCTTGAACGAGAGGAACCTAATTGAAGTGTATAAAGACAGTAGGAATATGGAGCAGTTGCCCATTAGGCAGTTGTTCACTTTGCGGGCAAACATACTTCGAGGGACTCTAGAGGGAACTAGGAGCAAGCTAGCAATAAGGTACCCGTTATTTACAAACAGAGTGGTCCATGCCTGGAACAAGCCACCATATCAACTATTTAAATGCCCCCTAATGCCGTTGTTGTACTTAAGGTGTTCTGTCGGACCATTCAAGCGTTTTAAACACTTAATAATAGTTGCAAATCAAATTTGAAACCACACCTTTCAATGAAATGAGGATACGTGCAAAAATAACAGGTTTACTTGAGAGCCTAGCGACTAATTATTCAAATAATGCGTTCGTCTCAATGACCTCAAGCAGATGGCCGCATTCATACTGAGTAGTAATGTGTTTCTATGGGGATTTATATTTTGATCATGATGGATGCCAAACGGGTTTCCATCAATACCGTTTATACATTGACGGACACACGGAAATCGTTGTGTCCAAGCACACTGACACAAAAAATCACAGTGAAATTAAGAAACTGATGTAGAAAGATTCAAAAATAGCGAAAAAAGATTGGAATGAAAAATGTTATTTCCATTTCAACGTGAAATAAGATCACGGCTGGGTTCCTCGGCGAAAATTGTTTTGTTTTCGTTTCGCACACAATTTGGGGGATTAATGGAAAATCTTTGGATATCTCCTACGGATAGCCAGTTCGTAGCAAGTAAAAGATACAAGTAATCCGGAATTATTCCGACTCCTTGACGTGGACCCGCACTCGATGCCAGGCATTCATCAACAAACCGCGAACATTCATGATGGCTTTGGAGTTCTCGGGTTGAGTGGAATTTGCGGAATCACGAGCACAACATACAATTTCCAGCTCAGCAGCATCACCTACAACAAAAAAATGTAGCTTACACTATTATGTAAAAAGCACTGAAAATATTCGCTTTGAAAAGACTGATTGTGAAATATATGGCTAGTTAGTCTCGTGTGTTTGAAAAACTTTTTGACGAAATCCCACAGGATGAAAAGAACTAAGATTCTTTGGAGTCATTGGCTGCGGATTCCTGAGTTATCATCATGAGCTGCTTACTAATGAAATCATTGATCGGGTTCCCTAAATAAAGCTTAAAATAATTTTTAAAACTTTTTTCTAGTAACACATAGTAACAACGTTTCTATATTTTGGGCGGATTAGGAAAATAGCTTATTTGCGCTCAGCTGCAAATCAACATGCGTGGAGCCGAAATGATAAATGATCCTTCCGTGATATATGTACCCATACTTTTCACTTTTCTGTATAAATAGTTTTACGGTTGATTTCCACGGTAAAGATTTGAGCAATCATTTGTGCGAAAGGAAGTAATTAGAAGTACGGTCAAACTCCGGTTCAATTTCAGGTGACTGAAACCACTTCATGACAGCCGTGCCTTTTTCCAGCGCACCGAGCCGTATGGTGTTTGGCATAGAAAAACAAGCTGTACAAAAAAGTCTGTTAACCTTTGGTATACCAATACCTGAGCAAACACCTGACAACTTTATGGAGATTCAGCTAAACTCATCGTATGCGTTATATCGATCTCTCAGGCTGAGATCGAACGCTGGAACGACAGGTCCTGATTGGCAGCTGAGCACAGTTAAACAAATTCGTATCTCATTGTTTTCAGCATATTTCTTTCGTATTACACTGCGAATAATGCCGGAAACTTACCTGACAAGACACTCGACGCGTTTCTCGAATGGACGTGGCTTCCAGTTGTGGTTGGAGTCCGTGAGTAAATCTAGCTCATATTATTGTTTTCTTATTAAGTGAACAAGAACAAAAGAAGACTAAATTTTTTTAGGCTTGCAACCGCGATACAGACGAATTCGCGCACGCTGTGGTTCAATGTATGAATACACCCGACCACTGCATTCTGATATCAGAATAGATGGTCGCTTTTTGTCTTTACACGTTGATAGTTCCATCAGATTGTTAACTCTCCAACGTATTTATACCACGTTCTCTATCGAACGGGTTGTTGAACGGCCTCAGACAAAACGGCCGCACAACGAGACGAAAGTGAATTCTAATCTGGGCTCGGTTTTACGGGAAAAAATGCAACATACATACTGCGAAAAACGAATGACACGATAAGCAGCATTTGTTCTATCGACTGATAATTCATATTCTTTACAAAATATATTGAAAAGTATCGGTCAGCAAAGGCCTAAAATTTGCCATGCGCTGTATTTCCTGAGGCGTTGCTGTAATATAAATGAACAAACAGTGTGCTCCCAAAGCAACCTGTGATATGCCGCTTATCTGATGCCGAATTATTGTTATTTGGACCCGGGCAAAAAGTTCATAATCATCTGTCTTCCTGTGATAATAATGAAATGAAATTGCTTCTTGTTTGATTTTCTTATCTGCATGCACTTGTCCATTTTAACTGTCAAAACATTGTACCAGGACAACTTGAAAACGACACGGTACACACTGGACAGCGACCAAAACACAAAGGTTGCTCCGAACTGGACTGTTGGACCGTTTCTCATTACAGTTCGGATAAATAATTTTCGCTATCCAATAAACAAAGGTTTGGTGTTTTCCAAAGGCATTTTCATATATTTAGGCTTCCAGTTGACATGAAAATGCTTATTGTTTCTTCAGGAGTGGGCGCATCGTGAGACGGAATCTTTCACATTTTTCCCATTCAAGTAAACCGAATTCCATCAGTTAAGTGAGTAATGACACGTTTAGGGCAAACACAGATTCCTGAATGCTTGAACATTCATATCAGGTGACCTCAGCTGCATTTCAGATTGAGCCATCGTTTTCCAAACGGCAGAGTGAGTAAAAAAAGGTCTATCTCCCCGGACTATTCTTCATATTGGTTGTGTGCTACCCCAGCTGCGATCAAACCACCGTCATGCTTCGATCTGATCGGTTTTCTCCTTCTTGGTCTGTATTGATGGAGAAGTTCCGTTGATTATGCAAAAAATTGGACTAATGTTCACATCGAAGCACTTGCACTAGTTAAGAACTGAGTCAGCGGGTTTATGTGCCTCTCGGAAGGTAACACAGCCAGACGCTTATTCAACGATTCGCACACCTCAAGGCCTTGGCCTGGGCAACCTGGCAGTATTCGGCCTACTTGGAAATCGCGGAGTGTTTTTCTTTTTATAAAGATTATTGTACCACGATTTGTTTGGCACAGTCTGGCATCAGACGTGTGTAAAATATGTATAAATATATACACCTCAAGGTCAACTTTCGAAGATGAAATTGTTTCTTGGTGTATATTTCGGTTATTCCAGTAGAAGGGATAATGTGTGATCAGCTTGTAGGAAAATAATTTATAAATTTATTTAAACTGGAATAGTCTCATTAATTAGCTTATTTGCCGTGCACGGAATAAAAGAGATAAGCAATCTAGAATGCGTGTATTCAACTTAATAAGCACTATTATGAAAAAGGAATCATACATTAGAAAGAATGAATTTCCCTGATGCTTTACATAACATATTTTCCCAATCTGAGCTGTAACTATGGAAATGCTACATATTTTATCGCTACACTCAAGGTCGCACAAATTCAAAGTGATACAAAAGAACTAAGAACATACAAATGAGAGATAAAGTCGGGAATGAATACACTTTACACATAGCCATCAATATATCAATATGATACTGAAAACGGAAAAGTATTTCCAAAATGAGAGTGATATGAAAGGATTTTAATCAACATCTATATATAT